ATAGAGGGCAAAGCAATCCCAGAATGATATAACCAGACACTCACTCACAACGCCTTCTTCTTTTTAGACTACTCGCTTGAGGAAAGCACACACTGGCTGCTTTGCTGGCCCTGGCCTTGAGGCTTATCTGAAAGGATTCAACTTCACTGGGGAACCACCTTGGGTGTTCTGAACTCAGCTGGCATTAGACATTTTATAATTCCATCTCTTTCTGTCCAAGTAAGTTTTAAATCTTTTAATTACTTTTTGTGTAACATTTTGAAATTGGCAGATTAAGTAATATTTACCTTGTATTGTAGCTTCTTTAAATCAGCAATAAATGCACAGTAGCTGTTCAGTAGTTCATTTATTGCTGGCTGCAAATGATAACTTTGTTTAAAGTGTTCTTTTGACTGTAATGCTATTTGTCCTTGTAAAATAGTTCATAAATGTGGATTTGTCAGAGGGTAGCCTTTGTACATTCTGCAGCTGTTATTACTATTAACTCTTATGCCTGAGAAGATAAGACCCAGCTTTGACGTAGTCATACTTGTCATGAACAGATAATGACTGTGGTTGGGGGTTGTTTGAGGATGTTTTGTCACACCTTGTTCCTCTTTCTGCAGTTTTCTTTTGCTGTCAAATCTTGAATTGAGACCATGAACACCTTCACTCCCACCGACTTTGACTTCACCTTCCTGGAGGAGGGATTCTGTGCACGGGACATTGTTGAGCAGAAGATCAATGAATTGTCCTTATCAGTGAGTTTACTCCTTTCACACAGTTTTTGATGACATTTATCTTGTGTTGACCATGCTACTAGGTGTTACCTGTATTGATCACACTTTTCATCCTGGCTCTGTAGGATGACAAGGATGCGTTCTATGTGGCCGATCTGGGTGATGTCCTTAAGAAGCACCTTAGGTGGGCACGTGCCCTGCCTCGTGTCACACCTTTCTATGCAGTCAAATGCAATGACAGCAGGGCTGTCGTGATGACGCTGGCGTCTTTGGGAGCAGGCTTTGACTGTGCAAGCAAGGTTTGTTCTAATTTTATTGTTTCCTTTTTTGGTGAATATACAGCTTAATTGTTTCACAGAGATAGAAAAAGTAAGTAGTAGAAACTGCATTGAATTAACCAATCTGTCCCGTCAATCTCCTTCTAGACTGAGATCCAGATTGTGCAATCTCTGGGAGTGGACCCCAGCAGGATCATTTATGCCAATCCCTGCAAGCAGGTGTCCCAGATCAAGTATGCTTCTGCCCACGGGGTTCAAATGATGACTTTTGACAGTGAAGTGGAGCTGCTGAAGGTGGCTCGTAGCCATGACAATGCAAAGTGAGTAGACTTTCTTTGTCTGCTGTGTGTGTGTTCTGAGTAAATGTAGAACATTGTGATTGTTTATTGTCTGTAGTCTCTAACCCAGAGATATCTCTGCAGACTGGTGCTGCGTATTGCAACAGATGACTCTAAAGCAGTGTGCAGGCTGAGTGTCAAGTTTGGAGCCACGCTGAAGAGCAGCAGGCTGCTTTTGGAGCGGGCGAAGGAGCTAGGTCTGGATGTCATTGGAGTCAGCTTCCATGTGGGCAGTGGCTGTACTGACCCAGAGACATACAGCCAGGCCATCTCAGATGCACGCTGTGTTTTTGATATGGGGGTAGGTTAACAGTTACACAGCCATACAGTCAATTATAGCTCATTTGATTGTGTACATTGGTGCGTCACTGCTGCATACTTGAACTTGCATCTGAAATTTGCATAATCTTTTAGGCCGAGTTGGGCTACAATATGACCCTACTGGATATCGGTGGAGGCTTCCCTGGCTCTGATGATTCCAAGCTGAAGTTTGAGGAGGTGTGTATCACTTATTTCTGTTTTCCATATGAGTAATGGGACTGAGGTGTGTCTGTGGACTACCTCCATTTTAAAATGTCAGAAAATTGTTTTAGGTGGCTTTAAAGATGTTTATTTTGGTTTTATCTTTGTTTCTTAGATAACCGCTGTGATCAACCCTGCACTGGATAAGTACTTTCCTGTAGACTCTGGCGTGAGGATCATTGCCGAGCCTGGCCGATACTACGTAGCCTCTGCATACACGCTAGCTGTCAACATTATTGCAAAAAAGGTCATCATGAAGGAGCAGTCAGGCTCTGATGGTAAGTTTTTGTGTTTTATTTGAGCTGATGAGTTTATTGATCACATTCCATAGAAAATTGAGTCTAACAATTTGTTCCTTGTTTTTCCTGTACATTAAAAAATTCAGAGGAAGATGATTGGACCAGTGACAGAACCCTAATGTATTATGTAAATGATGGGGTTTATGGCTCGTTCAACTGCATCCTATATGATCATGCACATGTGATGCCTGTTCTTCACAAGGTATGGATTTAAATATATTAACACTGTTGATTTGATTGTTTTAAGCCTTAATAATCCATAAACTAAAGTGAGACTTTAAGGGTATTAGCTTGGTCACAGATTGGTGACACTGCTGTTTGGTATTGCTTTGTAGAAGCCCAAGCCTGATGAGCGCATGTACCCATGCAGTATTTGGGGTCCCACCTGCGATGGACTAGATCGCATTGTGGAGCAGTGTACTCTGCCTGACATGCAGGTGGGAGAGTGGCTTCTGTTTGAAAACATGGGTGCTTACACTGTTGCTGCCTCTTCCACCTTCAACGGCTTTCAGAAACCAGACATCCATTACATCATGTCCCGAGCAGCCTGGTGAGCGCACGTTTTACTGATATTTTTTTTTATTATTTTTTTTTATTTATTTTTTCTCAAGATTTTTAAAAACTGAATTCATTTGTTGTTTTATTTGTAAACTTGGCACACTCTAAATTAGAGGCCCTCATCTCTCAAAAGTCTCCAAGTGTAAGTAAAAGCTGAATTTAAGCTTAAATGCTTGTTGTACTGAGAGAAGTGTTTCCTCTCTTTTTAGGCAGTGCATGCAGCAGATCCATGCCCAGGGGATGCCTGCTCTGGCAGAAGATCAGTGCCCTGGCAACATGCCATCACACTGCGGTCGTGAAAGCAGTTTGGAGCTGCCTGCTAAGCCCTGTGCACCCCGTGTGCTCTGAGCCGCCACCTCACCATAGATTTGGTACAGATAAAGGCGATGCATTAAGTCATTTGTAACTGATTCTCTAATAGTGACACAATTTTCTGATGCCCCCTGTTGCTGTGAGGGTTAATTGTGCCAGTAGTTCAAATTTTGCAGTTATAAAGCACTGTGTCAGTTCTTACCTGTGCCAGGTCTGTGGTGCGTACTCTCAGACTATTGTAGACGCACACTTCATTCAGTCTATTTTATTTTATTTTATTTTTTATCTTATTTTTAAATGTCATTACTTCATATTTGTATTCTTACAATATGTAAGGCCAGTTACTTGACAGGAGAATAGGAGAGAGCAAGAAGTGTTTTGTGTGTTTTGAAGGTCAACTGCCGTTGAAACCTATCCTCCTGAGCTTCCCTTGATTTTAAGCTATGAATGCATTTCAACCACTACTATGGACTGTTTTGTTCACAACCACAGAGGGACGCAGGGGAAATGTTTCATCATGAATTCTCAGATCTCATCACTCACAGGAACAATACATTCCTCCTTTGATTCTCCTATTTAAAAATGTTTTGCAAACTTTTTTTTTTTGTTAAACAAGTAAGTTAATAATAATAATAATAATAATTATTAAGTAGAAACCAGTAATTATCATGACACATTTCAAAATTGATATGAAAGAGATGGGATTGCACTCATATTGCTTTCCTATGGAAACCTTTTTTTAATGTTTTGTATTTTTTTTTATAAATAAAATATAGCTGTAAATGTGTGCTTGCTTGTTTTATAATTATCCAATAACAGTGTCATCAGTTTTAATGCTGAAGAGCAACTAGGGTTTTTAAACTGGAATTTTTAAATGTGAATTCAAATCCAATCCAACTGCATGATTAAAAGAATTGTGTTCATCACAATTCAAAATATGTAGCATCATTTAGGTGTAGTAAAGTTTTTGTACTCTGGGTTCCTGCTGGCCTTGTGATTGTGGGCTGCTCTTGGATTTTAAATGTGCAAGTATCATTTAATCTTTTAGCCCAGTGTACAATTGATAAATATGTAAATATTAAATTATTTGTTATTACGAAGTTACCTGATGCAATGGCAAGACACAATAACAGCATTAGAAGACGATTTGCTGTATTTATGGCTGAAACAGATTATCAAGTAATTCTAATGTTGAACAACCTATGTTTTACTCAAAGGTCCTGCTCTTCAGTACAATAGGAGAGAATATCATCACTGTACCAAGAAAAACAACTATCTCCAAAAATTTTGCAGGAGAAGGCAAAAATGTTCTTTACTTTCAATGAGTTAAAGTGAAGAGGTTGCATTTGAAGCAGTTTTGGAGCATTTCTATTGGTCCAATCATGAAATTTTCACACAATACAATGGATAGCCGCTTAACGTAAGTTATGCAGAAAACTAAAAATGGCAAAAAAAATGGAGATCCTTTGGACAGTAATGATATATAACTGACGACAGCAGTGCCAGAGGAAATTCAAAAGGCAACTCCCATGGTACCAGCTGTACCACTATAACAGTTGATTAGAATCCCATAAAAGCACTGAAGCCCATAGAAGCTGTCCTGTTAAGGAAGGAGATGGTGTTGAGCGTTTTCATTAAATTGCACTGAAATTTCTGCACCATATTAAACAGCTTTATCTTTGATAGGGGAGACATTGGTGATGTCTTTTATGTTCAAGAAACCAACATTACTCACTGAAAAATATTTAAAAAATAGAATGTTTTTTAGGAAAAAAGCCCTTATTTTCACCATATGTTTTGGCATCAAATAGGTGGGTTATTTGCTTTTTTACTTTCTACATATTTTTATTTATCATTATGAACCCAGACCTCACTGTACCTCCTGTCCCAAGAGATGTGATTTCCTCCCAGTCATTAGACTAGTGCTTTCTATACCATATACAGTACTGTGCAAATGAAATAATGATATGTAAATCTATTTGAGCAGTAGACATTTATTAAAAAAACAAACACTGGAATTAATACAAACAAACCAACAGTACATTGTGATTTTGCAGAGATTAACTATTTCCAAGCCTTTCTGAGGGCAGTTTACAGTTATCATCCAACACCTAGTTTATCTAATCAGTCTTTCATTGAATTAAATCAGATGCGCCACTGATGTAATTTAACAAATCCATGCAATGACTGGAGTGCAGCACTGGACATGTTCTATGCTCTTCCAACATATAAATTTTAAAAAACAAAAGTAACATTTTAAGAGTCCTTTGTAGATGTTTACCTTGGCTTTATCTAACAATCAACTAAATAGGTATTAAACTAACTTTCAATTAAATGTAATAGATTTGATTAAATCTAAACCAAAACTTTAATTTCAACCCTAAACCTAATCCTAAACCTAACCGTAACCCTTTTGAAAATCAAGGACTCTGACCAGGCTGTTTGTTAACAATTAAAGCATGTATAGATGCAATTAAAGCATCTTCCTATTTGTATTACTCTAATGTTGTGTAGTGCCTTTTACTAGAGTAAACACACTCAACTGCTGAGATAAATAGTTTTAAACAATTTTCTTGGCTGCTTTAGACTTCTGCACAGTACTAGATATTTTGACTCTGTGGATTACAGTGGGGTCCAAAAGTTTGAGACCACATTAAAAATCTGGCATTTAGTTTTCATTTAAACCAGAAATAAACAACAAAGTGTTTTAGAATTTAGAAAAAAATAAATAAACACAGAAAAGTTATGAAAAGTAAAATGAAATATCAAGAATCTGCACTTTTTCTAGGACACTATTCAAATTTAAGCAAGTTGGGGACCATGGTAAGGCTTTTTTAGTCGTATCTCTTCCACTGAAGATGATGTTCAGGCGACTCTCAGATGGGTTTGATTTTTATCAGAGGCTTTGTGGAGTCCAGCTCGAGTGCACACCGTAATTAAAACAAAAATAGGAAAATACTACATACTAAGAAATTCTGAAATTCAGCTAAATATTTTCAAAGTTTCTACTTTCCACTGAAATTGTTATGCAGATAATATACACTGTAATGAAAAACTCTACTAACTTGGAAAAGAATTCAAAATAGAAGCATTTCTTTGGTGGTATTCATTCCCTGCTATGCAGGGTTCTTGCAGTTCTAATCTCTGCTGCTGGGTGGCAGTGTTTCTCTATGTAAGTCTTCAGTGTGGAACAACTCAGTCACGCATTACAGTAATAAACTGTTACTGTAATGTGTGAGAAAATACCATGGATTCTCTTCTCCCTGCTGGTTTAGAACATCAACACAGGTAAATCGAAATGTTAAATGCTCCATAAGCATTTCAATAGCCAGACAAGCACAAACCCCCTTTTCAGTCCTCCATACAGACTTTTCTAATCTCTCCCTTTCTTGCCTGAATGCTCTACCAGTTTGCTTATCACTTCTGCAGCACTTGGTTCCACTAGTTTCCCTGCCACTGAGTCTTAGACATGACTCACTGCTATACGCCAGTCACTGCAGGCTGAGGGAATTCGTCCTAGGCCCATTTACTGTTTCTATCCTGTTCAATTTGTGCTTCATCAATTCCACACACAGCTCCTCCTGTCTCCATCCTCGGTGTGAGCACTTCTGCTTGTTTGAAGGGGCAGCACCAGTCAATATCCCCTCCCCCACTTGCCATTATCAGGGAATCAAATACCTGAGGAGCTGCAGGCAGGATGCATTCAACAGTGCACCTTGGCTAATTAAGCGGCACGATTTGCAATTGTTTATAAGGCGTGCTGCTGGTAGCTCAGGGAAGGCATGCAGCTGCATAATCCTCTGGGACAGAAAGGTTCCTCACGACAGTTTGCTGAGAGCTGCATGAGCATAAAATCCATCTCTTTAGACACCGTCTAAAAACAGAATTACCAGTGAGTGGATGAAAATATATGAGGAAAATAACAAGGTTTGCTCGGTCTCTCAATTCCATGGGGCACACACAGCAGCTGAACTCAAGACTACTGGCTGAGCTTTCCTTCTACTGTAAATCTAACCAGTAAGACCATTTTTTGACAATTTTATACAAGAAAATGTGTAATTGGTTTAGTTTTGGAATTAATTCATAGTGCTATAACACATGCAAAAGTCAAAAGGTTTGTCCTCTTTTATTTTTGTTTATTTACAGGACTGTGCAAAAGTCAGAGACCACATTTCATTTATTTAATTTCCAGTCAAAACAGCCATTAAGTACAAGTTTTTCATTTTTCAGGAGATCTTCCAGAGTAGATTTCAGGACTTTCCAAAATTGTAGTTCAAACAACTGTGATGTCTAAAAAACATGCAAGATCACCAAAACTGTTATCAGATTAACATTACATAAAGCTTTTATCTTTGATGGAAAAATGAGAAAATCAAGCTTGACTCTTGCTTTAGAACGGAAAAGTCTGAAATGGATGTGTAGCTGTCAAGAAGCCATTACTGAGGAACAAAATACGAAAGAGAACATTTGCAAATCAAATAAAGAGGCTGTTAGTGTTCCCAGAACAATCAACTGGCCACCCCAGAGTCCAGACCTCAGCATCACCGAATGTGTTTGGGATTGCTTGGTGGTCGCGACTTTTGCACAGTACAGTATGTGTCATAAATATCTGACCCTGTGAAACACTGAGGTGATGCTTGACACAAAAAAAAAAAAACAACCACTATTTCAATCCAAAAAGGAAGCACAACATTTTAATGCAAACAAAAGGGGAATTGTCACAGTAACACTCCAGAACTTTTATATTAATAGCACAGTTACAGTTTCTTTATAAATACTGCAAGACATCTGTTATAACCATGAACAGCAGTTTAGAACAAAAAAATGTCAAGGCTAGCTGGCTTAATGCTCTGCTCTGGTGCCAGGGTCATAACTGTCATGGAGGGATTTAAGTTTTACGTTTATGATCACAATTTAGACTCGATTTTTCCTTCATTCTCGCCCTGTTTAACTAGAAGTGTTTACTTAACGTCTGAGAAGTCACAGGGGAGATTCCAGTGACACTTCGCTTGACATGTTCCCGATGGCATGTTAATGACTGTGCTGGAAAAAGCCAGTCGTGGGGTCAGAAGCATCCCCATGACTATCTCCGTCAAGTAGCATCTTATGACAGGCCAGTTTCTATGGCGATGGGAAACAGAAAACGATGAAGTCCCAGATGCGCAATCTACATTACTGAAATGTGCTATCTGACAGGTAGTGCATGAAGATACAGCATGTGGCACACTGAAATAATTCGTCTTTTTCTGATGGCAGAGTAATATGACACTGAGAGAAGAATAAGAAAAGTAAAAAGAAAAAGGCATTCACATTGGGCTTCACTATATTCCATAGGGGTGCACCATTAACAACAATAATGGCAAAGAATACAAAACAACGATATCAGTACAGTCCTTACATTCACCACAACAGTAATATAAAAATTTTGTCAAAATACATGCAACAGCAAGGTTGTAAGCAAACCGTCTGACAAAATGCAGAACCACAAACAGGATAAATCCATTGCATTTATAAAAGAACAGCCAATCACAAAGGCACACTGATGAACGTCCATGCAGTCCAGGGGGAGGAAGCTGAAGGGTGCTGTGGATCTAGAGACTGCTTGCATTTTCAACCAGAAACATATCAATGCGCACAAAACAATGCCAATATAACACTTGGATGTAATTAAAAAAAGAATCCAGCTAAAACAAAAGTAAGACTGAGATCATTCTACACTTAGAACCTGCTTAAACTCTCAGTCTTATGCACTGCTCACTAAAATGAAGTGACAGTCCTTAACAGTGCTGCCTTTTCACAAACACATTCTTTTTTTCCCCATTGTTCCATTAACCATTAAAACACAAACGCAGAGAAAATTACACAACACCACATTCCCATTCCATAATATGTGGTACTCTGAAGCATAATGGTACTAGGACTGATGACTGAGCTCTTGACCTCAATCCTCAAAATCCACATTCGCAAATTGGTCCAAACCAGAGGTTCTGTGACATGCTGTGAAGGAATCAGTGAATCTCATACTGACTACAGTGATAAAATTCACAGTGACATGAAAACTTACAGTGTGCACTTTGGACTCAAATGAACACTATTAGGATGTGCTATGCCGGCTGAAATCTCAATGGCTGAAGCTCAGAACTGGCTGGCACTGCTGGGGTCACACTGGAGAAGGCGGACAATAGAGGGGTCACTCCTGGCACCTTTGATAAACTCCTCCAGAGAAATCTTTCCTGTAACAGCAAAGCAGGACACTGACATTAAATATCACAAAGGATTTATGGACTCCTTATTCATAAACATATCAGACATTACTAATGCAAGGCTAGTAATGCTAGCCACTATGCTGCAGCTGTATACCAAGCCAATCAACCAATCAACTAGGTGAATGAAGAATCAATAATAAAAATAATGAAGCAGTGGCATATATATATATATATATATATATATATATATATATATATATATATATATATACATATATATATACATATATATATAGGGATAATGCTATGGGGTTGTTTTTCAGGGGTTGGTTTTCAGGCCCCTTAGTTCCAGTGAAAGGAAACCTTAAAGCTTCGGCATAACGAGACATTTTGACAGTTTTATGCTCCCAACTTTGTGGGAACAGTTTGGGGAAGAACCTTTTCTGTTCCAGCGTGACTGTGCCCCAGTGCACAAAGCAAGGTCCATAAAGGCTTGGCTGGGTGAGTTTGGTGTGGAAGAACTTGACTGGCCCTCACAGAGCCCTGAGCTCAACTCCATCGAACATCTTTGGGATGAACTAGAACTGATATTGCAAGCCAGGCCCTCTCATCCAACATCAGTGTCTGATTTTTTTTAATTGATTTTACCATCGTTGTTGGTGTCCATCTGTCTGAAAATCTTATCTGTCCTCTTCTCTGGAGTAGACTCATCCTCTGGCATCTTCATCACAGAAGAAACCATCTTATAGATAGCCTGAAGGACAATAATTAACACGTAACACAATGAAAACAATGCATTACCTACTAAAATGAACAAATCACAAATCAAAGATTTACTATCCAATATAATTTTGTACTAGTAAAACTGTTCTTGATTGAAATAAAAACTGAATGTACTATGAATGATGTTAGTTTCAAATATAATGACTTAGACTACAGTCTCTGAGAATACAGTCATTTGCAAAAAATTGAACACCCTGGTCAAATTACATGTTTTATTGATTTTAAAGTTTAAAATAAAGTTAACATGTCCTCTATACTGAACAAACATAAACATGTTTGTTCAGTATAGATAGAGGTATAGGTATAGAGCTTGTTCTGCAAAGGTTAGTGCACAATTTCTATTTATTTAGAGAATTTAACATACAGGGAAAATCTAAAAAAATAAAAATGTGCCATAACTATTTCACAAACCATTGTCAACTGTTTTATTTTTCTTCCCAATGTGTAAAATTCTGGAAAAAAAACTGCAATTGTGTGTTTTCTGCAGAGGATGTGAACTTTTCTTCACTTAGAAACCAACAAAACATGTCATTTGACCAGGGGCACCTAAATTTTTACATAAGACTGCATATGGAAACGAAGCTGCAAAAACAGCCCATTTTAAACCCATCATAGTTATGATGTCAGACATGCATATTTATGTAGGCCCATTCAGCTGACAGCAGTTTAGTCCTCCCAGTCACACTGAAGTGCTAAGTAGTTGTTACTGCATGTGGTCTGTAGTTACTGGAGTGAAAGATGTGGGGGGGGGAACAAATGTTGTTTCAAGGTGATACACATATCAGCCTTAAAGGTACAGTAACAACACCAGTACATTGAATTATAGGGGATAAACAAAAAGAGGTTGGAAAATGGTTATATGAAAATGAATTAGAATTTAAATAAACTCAAACAAGTTAAAAGTAGAGTCCAGTGTAAAAATAAGACTACAAAAATATAGAAGATGATGTTAAAAAGTCTCCACCGAGCTTCACATTCTGTAGCACAAAGATGATCTAAGATGGCAGAGCAATATCACTATGTCTAACACTGCAGTGCTTTAGGGAAGCTGGGCCATCTGTATAGAGAATATATTTATGATCAAGGCAGATATTTCTCGCATATTTTCCCTCACATTCTCCCAAGATTCAAAGCACTTGCCTTACTTCAAAATTTTTGTCGCTAATGTGATTTTTAAATGTCAGTACCACAGAGAGCCACTCTTTCCAATTTCACTCATTTTCATCATTAGATTTAATGAGCAGAGATGGTCCTTAGTGTTCATGAGGCTGTGGCGCTCCCCTGAGCATGCTTCATTTTCAAATTCATTTTTTTACTTGATTATCTTGTCTCCATGTGCAGATACTGATATTATTCACAGCTTTCTGGCTCAGAAAAGCTTCTTACATGTGGTCCATAACAGGACAGGGAGAAGAAACAACACAACAAATTCAATGCACCAACTGGAGTCATATAAATGTGAATGCAATTTAATGTCTTACTGAGTAACAAGAAATTGTAGCATCTGTGCTATGTTTTAAATGGAGAGACGTCAGTGACACCACATATGACTGACCTGTAGAGGAATGTGCCCCCTCAGTTCTTTAGAATACAAAAAATGCATTTTAAAATTATTTTTTTTTATCACTGATATATTATTTACTTGAAAAGGCCCAGAAAAATACTGTATTAAAAATTAAATAAATACAAAGTGTAACAGTGCCTTTCAAATAACAATTAGATACAGTGACCTCCAGCTTGATCTTACACTGAAAATATGAGAGGAATGTAACTTTTAAGTGAAGAAAAAATATCCATAGAAAACAAAAAAAATTCGGAGACTTCTCTGGCAGAAATGTGTAATTGCACTCAATATGTGAAAGAACATTTTGTAGCATCAGTGCCCTTCCCAGAGCAGATGAATCTGATGATTGCAAGCGTGTTAAGTATGAGTATTCAGAGAAATCTCAGTCAAAACCTGATGAAGGACATGTCTTCTGTTGACGTGAGTGACTTATGTACTACCGTCATCATATTTTATCAATTTATTTTATTTATTGATTTTGCACTTGAGACCTAAACATCGAGATGGACCTTCTTTTTCAGCCTTTATGTGTGACGTTAATGCGTAAAGACAAATGGCATGGACCGAAAAATGCCCATCAAATCCGACCTTTACAGTTTGACTCGCTTGACTCAGTAATGCTACTTCTTTCAATTAAAAAAAAAAAAACTCACCAAAGTTTTTAAAAATACTGTTCACTCCTCAAACCACGCAGGCTATAAGTCATCTCTGAGGATTTAAGTCCAAACTTAACAGTCCACTTTGTAGCCTAGATTGCTTTTAAAGGTGTGTGCCTCCTTTGCCTTTTAAAGGTATTGGCAAATCAGAACAGAGGTCATTTTCATAGATCAGTCTTAAAGAACAGTAAATAAAAAGACCGTTATTGTGTAAACGATAGTTGAAGAAGGCCTAGTATGCATTTGGGTTGGTTGGTGGAGATAAAGTCGGGGGTGTGAGTTGGCTATATATTTAACTGATGTTGTGGGTTTAACTGTATTTTTGCTTTCGTAATTTTGTTTACCTGCCCAGGGACTGCAGATGGAAACTAGGTTATTATATAACTCTGGTGCAAAGCATCTCTTCTCTTTTCATTCAGATTAATGTATTTGGTGTATGGTCCCTGACAAAATAAACATAATGCACTAAACTAAACAAAATCCAGCCTGTTTGGAGCCAATGGATGAAGAGAGGTTGAAAAATGCTAATGTAAAAAATAAATATTATTGTTTTTGGTACATAAACCTACACAAACATTAAAAACATTATATTTTAAACAATAAAATACAAAAAGAAAAGAAAAATGTAGAATATTGGCGCATTAAGGTGTATATGTAAGAAAAATATGTGTCCATTAGATTTTAGAAAAGGGGGCCACTAATCAGGACAAGCGTTTTTAAGAAAAATGTTATTTACACAATGAAACACGAGAAGGAGTGATGCACTGTGGGATACTGGCACTTACATGCAGCGATCAAAGGCACATGGCTGAACTGTGAGGTGGAGTGATACTTACATAGATTCAGTCAGAGAGCCATTATCAGGACATACTGGCACTTATAGAGGGCCTCTCTGCCAATCACACTGCCAGATTGGAACAAAACTGTGATGGTGACAGTTTTGCATTTGTATTTGTTTTCTTTCAATCGTTTTACCTCAAAGGAAGGTTAGATTTCTTACATATTTTCATGTTAATGTGCAAATATGTTTTTAATTTATTCAGTGTCAAATCAAGTTGATAAACAAGAATTTTCCCCTCATCTCTACCAATGGCACCAATAATTCCGGAGAGCAAGAGAAGAACATGTTACTTCTGAAGGATAACAAAACATCCTCACCTGAACGATTTCCAGCATCTCTGCTCGGCTGATGTATCCGTTGCCGTCCAGGTCGTACATGCTGAAGGCCCACTTGAGCTTCTGCTCCAGCTTTCCTCGTGAGGTCACACTCAGCGCGATGATGAACTCCCTGAAGTCGATAGTCCCGTCGGCGTTGGTGTCGAATGTTCTGAACACGTGCTCGGCAAACTTGGAGGCGTCTCCGTAAGGGAAGAAGTTGGCGTAGATCTTTTTAAACTCTTCCACTGTGAGATGACCTGTGGGGCAGTCCTTCAGAAAGCCTTTATACCACTCCTGCAGCTCGTGGTCAGTGAACTCGGTGTTCTCCCGCAGGTCTTGGAGCACCTCGGGCCGCAGCTTGCTGTTCTGTTTCCCCATGGTTCCCAGCTGATCCCCTTGCAGGCCTTTCTCTCTACTTCACTCTTTCCCTTTTTCCACAGCGCCGCTCTTTTGTACTCCTGCTTCTTTTTTCTCTGCTCTTCCTCTTATCTCCTCAGACCTTGCACTCTGTCAGATGACAGGCGAGAGAGAGAGAGAGTGTTAGAGAGACAGTGAGAGAGGTTATCCTGTGGAATAAGGAGATAAAAGTCTAAGAGGGTGGTTTAAAAAAAAAAGTCACAGTTTTGGATGGTTTTGTTCTACCAAGGTTCCCGTTTGTTTCATAAAAGATTTTATGTGGAATTCCAATGCAAAAATGGCTTCGATATTGCACAGAAAGCCTCTGTCAGGGCTCATTAATCAAAAACAGACTTTAATATTAAACTAATCAAAAAGCATTACCACACTGAAGACCATGGGTCAAGAAATAAATTAAGCCCTAATGAAACCATTAAGAAACAGAGCAAATGTTTCTTTCTCTTCCATCAGGTAATTACGATGCTCTTAGGTCATTAACCAAGCAAGCACAATAGAAGCTTGAGAGGGTTGAACTCTCTCCTCCCATGAGCTCTTAATGGCATTTAGAACAAGTACAATCCAATCATAAAATCAGTACACAATGTAATTATAATAATGATTAATGTAAATTCAAATATTTAAATAAAAATGCATTAGTTTTAATAGTAAGTAAATTGTGGTGAAAGTATTAAAAGCATTTGAGCTAATCTGTTGTCTAAGTAAGTGCCGCTATATTCAATTCACTGAAAATTGCCTATTTAAGCCCCCATTGTACTGTAAAATGCTGTAACTAATGGACCGAGCTGATGTTTTCAACATTTTCCTTGTTCATAATATTTTTGTGCTGACAGACAGCTGAAATGCACTGTGGGTAGTTGGAAAATAAGCCCAGAGAGCCGACCAGCTCATGAGGCTTAATGACGACTGCAGCTAGGTTCCAAATTGCCATCCCCACTGTGGTGAAATTATCTGTACTCCACAGGCCACTCTTTCTCACAGCTATCAAAAATGCCCATTTCCTGGTATAATTGAATGAGCACCGCTGTGTGTCATTTGAGTCAACCATGTTCATTTTTTCTCTGAGTGTTTCAGACCTTAATTTTACACCTGAAATATAGTAGGAAGTCTCTGCCAATCACAAACATAAAGACAGCCTTCCAAACTACTCTATTAGAGGTTTAGGGCTACTGGAGGAAGCAGTGGACAGACTTCTGCCCCACATAAACACACAGTACCAAAACAAACCTCACACCAACACTTGCTGTTCATGTGCCTACAACACTAACACAACAGCATGTATGAGGTTTAAATTTGAATCTACATTCATAATCAACAGTGAAACTTATAAAGTGCATATATATGTAAGTAATAATAATAATAATAATTTAAAATAAGTCAATGACAAATAATTAAGAAGATAAATACCAAAGAGAAGCAGAATTTTAATAAATTGCTAAATTGAAGAGATACATTTCCAAATGTTTCTTAAAAGTATACTTGGAGCTTAAGTGTCCAATAAAAGGTGGAACTGAGTTCTACAGTTTAGAAGCATAACAGAAAGAGGCCTCTTCATGTTTTCTGCATTTCACGGAAGGTATTTGCAGAAGGCCTGTATCTGCAGATCTAAGATCACATGTTGGAACACAGACAGACATTCTGTGAGATAAGTGGGTGCTTTAAGGTGCTTTTATTTAGAGCCTTAAAATCTAGCAGCAGAACTTTAAAAACTATACTAAAATATACAGGTAGCCAATGCAGTTCTTTCAAGCTTATTTTTATGTTTTTGTTAGGATGTGTGCTGCTACATTTTGTACGAGTTGTAGAGGATGGACTGTTTTCCTAGAAAGCCCAGTAAGAAAAGCATTACAGTAATCAACTCTGCTGTAACAAATGTATGAACTGTATGAAATGTATGAAGTTTCTCTGTGTTGCTCTTGAGGTAGAAAAGGCTGAACTTCAGCAATATTTCTCAAAAGCTACTTTACTGACTGCGTTTACATGCGGGATAAAACAGAGCTCAGAGTCTAAGATTGATTTAGTTGTAGAAAATTTTGTGACATCCACTCAGAAATACCTGACACACAACTGGTAAGCCTGTCAACAGAATCTTGATTATCAGAAGAAATGGAAATGTATAACTGCATTTCATCAGCATAGATATGAAATTGATAGCATGTTTCCTTATGACATTACCTAAAGGTAACAAGTACAAACAGAAAAGCAAAGGCCCTAAAACTGAACCTTGTGGGACTCCACAAGAAATGTTACATCTTTTGATAAATGATTTCCCAGTGAAACCAAGAACTGTCTATGTATTAATTATTATTTAAATCATTATAAAATTGTACATTAGAGGCCTAGAGGCATTCAAGATGGCAGATTAGAATCTTGTGACCAATGGCATCAAAATCTGCACTAAGATCCAATAAGGTCAGAATAGAAGGATTTTGTGCATCAACTCTAAGCCTGAGGTCACTGACAACATGAACCAATGCTGTCTCAACACTATGGATAGAACAAAGACATGAATGAAACTTCTCAAATAAATTATTTGATGTGCAGATGTTTCCAGGTAGGTGTACTTCATTAGACAATTAAGCAATTACCATCCTACCATGCTTTGTGGCATGTATAAAAAAAGGCCCAGATGACCATGATTTTGGATCAAGATGGCAAGAGGATCTAAATAGGATTTATTATTGTGGCACGAATGGCAGGAGCTTCAATCACAAAGACTGCTCAACCGGTTAGTGTTTCAACAGGAATAGTGACTAAAGTGTGAAGTGCACATTCAGTGACTGTGATGCTCATACATTAGTGCGCTATGTAAGGAAAATAACAGAAGAGTGACCGTTCTTCAGGTGACTGAGAATGTCAATGCAGGACATGATCAAACTGAGTCAAAGTGATTTGGTCAAAGAAATCCTTCACCATATTCTCTTCACCATATTCTCCACAACTAGGCATGTGTGGTGTACAGAATGGCACAGGTCCAAATGCTTGACCTCTACAGTGATGGGGTCCGGTGGCTCTGTTAGCACTGCAGACGGCATTTTCCTGGCATGGCTTTGGTCCACATGTCCCCTTAGAGTGAAGACTCACTGAAAATCAATGCAAAGTTATTCTGACTGATCACCTTTAACCTATGATGAAACACTTCTATCCTGATGGGAGTGGTCTCTTCCAGGATGGCAATGCTCCCATCCACAGGAAACGAGGGGTCACTGAATAGTTTAATGAGTATGGAAATGATGTTAATTATACGCTACAGCCTCCACAGTCACCAGATGTCAACCCAGTTGAACACCAATGATAATTTTTTGACCAAAGTCCTCTCCACCACCACGACCATCGTCATCAAAAAACAAATCTTCAAGATGAATGATGTTCCATGCCTTCAGTAAAATTGAACTACTTCCTTCACACTATGGCCATGTTCAAATGCAATCTCTGCTTTTTGCCAATCATTAACATCTGCTTTGTGTGACCCATTTTCTACACATCGAACAAGACATTCACTGCACTGTACCACCTCCTCTCAATCTATGAATCCCATTGCACATGCCACAGGTATTTATAGCCTGATCATCCTTGTGCAACGCTATCTGCAGGAGCCTGAACTTACTAACTTACTACCACCTTAAACATGCAAGATGACTAATTTTTTATTTTAATTTAGCTTATTATACGTGCGGCTTCAAATAAAATGTCTCTAGAAGTCTAACGAATTTGGAATTACTATCTGATGGATTATCAATATGTAAGTTATCGTAGTTTGTGGACACAACTGATAATAATTCTGCAATTTCTGCCAAAAATGTACTATTTTGCTTTGGAGGCCTATATATTACAATTTGTAACACAGAAGTATCACTAAAAATGTTGATTTGGAGCTACAAGGGTTTTTGTGCAACAGCAACAATATGCATGTATGTATGTATATAAGCATCTTAAACATCTTATCACAGTTCCAAGTGTATTTGTGGCTGATCTGATGAATCATTCATTTAATCCAAGAAAAGCTAATTATTTTGGTCAAAGTAATGCAGACTAATCATTACTGATTCGCCAATGCCTTAGAACATATTGCAAACACAATTGCAGTATCTGGCAATATTATCGCAATAGCCGTAGTCTGTTACTTACCCTTGTTACCCAGCAGATGCTCAGGAGTTGCTACAGTCAACAGGTTGATTATGCAAAGGCCAGTGAGAGCAGCAGCAGGCAGCTGATACTACTGTTACATCATTACTTACAGGTTAACAAGCAGCCATGGCAGCTGAAAAGGCAAGTTTGTTATACATCCATTAGACTGGGTGATGGGTAGCGAGCACCCCAGAGACTTTTACTAAACTGATGAATAATCATAATTCTGAGTAAGTAAATATATGCAAAGCAGATATGTTTTTCTTTTTTTCCTTCACTGAATGTGGGAATTACAGTGAATTGACCAGCTGTATAACTTAACAAATACTAATAAAAATCATCACCTGCTATTAACACAGACCTCAGAGATATCATGTACAAAACCGAGCACCTTCTCAACCTTTAACAGGTACAGTAAGGTCGCCATGGCTACCATCACAAAAGGAAAAGTAGACGTTGCCTTTTCAGTGCGCATGAGTGGAGGGATCTGGCCACATTCACACAAAAAAAATCTGATATTAATAGACAGCTTGCTAAATTACTATGTGTTACGGCTGCACATCATTTTGTTAATCATTATTATGATACTGGTCTTTGAAATACTGATATGGAATATGCACGTGAGTTCTCTTATTAATCACAGTGTTTTTTTGTGTGTGCTGTGAGCATCCTGACTATCCACAGTGGCATATGACCATTTCTGTGAGACTTTGGAGGAATCAGTGTATTTGTGTAAATGTAATTCCTGATTTAAACTTTCTTAAATATGCACGTAAATGAGGGGTTCCTGGGTAAGTAAAGCCTGCAAAGGCTAAGTGTTGCACAAATCTGCAAAGCTGTGCATCCAGCAAATTCTGATTAGCTGTCTGGTAGCATTGGGGGTGAGACGAAATTCAAAAAAAACTCAATTTGAACCAAAACTAGCAAATTACCACAAATGAACCTCAATTATAATGTAAAAAACA